AAGAAGTCGAGATTTAAAAAGTTCATAGGCAAGATGAAGAAGTCGTACAAGAGAAAGAAGATGAAGGGATTTTAGTTGAAAATAGGGTTGAAGTAGGTAGTTATTTTATTGCAGGAACTGATAGGGAACCAGAATTGAAGGTGAAGTTGTATTGCGTGAATTATAGGAAGTTTGAAATAGAAGATGAGAATAGGGATTTGAATTATTTAATAGCGAAGAGTTTTGTGGATGATAAGATTTATTGTAGGGGTAGAAATTTACAGGCGAATTTGTTTGAGATTAAGTATGTGAAAGGGAGTAATAGTTTAAAAAGGAATAATAATTTATGTGTGGACGTTTTATCGAGGAAAGGAATAGGCGGGAAGGAGATAGGAACTAATTATGAGATTTTAGATAACCAGATAAGGGAGAATTATTTTCAGGATTTTTGGAGGAATTTTTATTATGATAGGGTAGTAGGAGACTTAGAATTGGAATTATCGATTGAGAATGAAGGGAATTTGTGTAGCTTTGAGCAGGATGAGGATTGTAGGAAGCAGGATAAGATTAAAAGAGTTAGGAGAAGTGAGTTTTTGGAAGTAGTAGGCATTGATTATTTGAATAATTTAATTATGAGTGAAAAGGGTAAACGGATTGTTGTAATTGAAGAATTAAGAGATTATTTTATGTGTGGGATTTTTATTGAGAAGCCCTGGATTAATTTAGAAAAGGGGGGAGGAAAAGAAAAGCGAGAATGGAAAAAGTTTAGGAAAAAGATTAGGAATGATAGGGATGGTTCCCAGGCGTATTTGGTTGACAGTACAGTGCGAGATTTTTGACTTTGATTAAAGATTAGATTAGGGATGATAGGTTAGGTTTACTGCTGGAATAGGTCGGACCTAGGTTGAAACAATGCCGAAGATGGTTCGATCTATCCGGCATTTGAATAGTTAGCTAAGGGTTGTAGAGTTACAGTAAATTAGTGGTAGTTCTTAAATTTTTATACTAGGATGATGAAATTTCTCAGGCTCAGCTGGTGACGTCACCGTGCGGGGTTTCAGTAATGACTAGGGAGCTGTGTTAGGCGATCGTGTCCGAATACCTAAAGCAGGTCCCGAAGTTTTTTTTAAAGTTTTAATTGGTAAATTGAAAAAAAAACCCTGTAATTCCAATATTTTGTTTTGTTTTCATAGTCAGGGGAGGATTGTAATTTTGTGTTTTTTGTGTTCAATTTAAAGGGGGAAAATGTTGTGTTATTTTGTTTAGTTGTAACTTGAAAGAAATTATAGAGCGTCTGGATGTGACAATTTTGTTTAGTTCATTTAATTAACCGGGGGGGTTATTAATAATTTGAGACACAGGATTGCGTAAATTTCATGTTATAGTTTTGGTTCAATTTCTTAGAAGTGTTCTGTTTTTATTTTATTCCTAGAATTTTTTTCGATGTAAATTTCTTTTTAAATTTTTATTTGCCGTTAACGAGGTATAGCGCGAAGTAGAGATAAGGTTCTTCGCAGAATTGCCGGGCGTACGTGCCGTTCAGCAAGAAGTTGAAAAATCGACGCTTCGCGTGATTGGCGGACGGGATGTTGAAGAAAGGAGAAGGGCTTTTGGCTTAAATAGAAAATTTTGATGCGAGCGGGGCTTTTTGGTCGTTACAAAGCCAACCGGCGCTTCTTCGGTTACGTTATTTTTGAATTTTGTGGAAGTTTTCCTGCGTAGTTGGATCCAGGTTTTATTAGAATTTTGTGTCTGCCGTTTTGAGAAGAATTTATTGAGAAGTTTAAGAAGTTTGTCGTCGTCCTGTTTTTTTTTGTTATTTTGCGGAAACACGGAAGTTTTAAATATAATTTGTGGGTACCCGAAGAGAGAAGACGTCGGTGTTTGAGTGGTTGGTTCACGTGTTTGTGTACGGTTTACCTCTGTTTATCGGATTACGTTTTTTTTTCGGACTAATTTTAAATGTAAGTAGTAGTTTAGTGGTTTGTTTTGTCGTGTTTTTTTTTTGTAATGTTTGAGTAATTTGTTTTTTTTTTTGTGTGTGTCATTTATTTGTTTAAAATTGTAAAGATTTGTAAAACGGAAATTTACGCAATTTTTTGTTTGAAATTAAACCAGTCATTGCAATCCAGGTTTTGTTTATTAGAGTCAAGGAGAAGTAATTGTCGGCGTCTCTTACTTTGTTTCAAGTTGTTTAAATCTGGGGGTAAAATTTCATATTGGAATTTAAGGATTTGGTTAAGCCACCTATTTATGTCATTGTTGGAATGCTGTAGGGTGGCAGAATCCAGCTGGACCTTGAGATACAGATAAAAATTTTGTTTTCATTTTTTTTACTACTGAGCTAGCTAGAGGTAAATCGTGGGATTTCCAGAAGTTAAGGTTAGGTCTCACAACAATATATATATATATATGCTTCAAAATTATTTTCAGTGGCGTGCGTCAATTGAACTAAGAGGGTCACTTTTTTCATAGAAAGAACAATTTCCCTTAATTTGGGTCTTAAAAAGTGAAATGAAAACTAGTAGTTGCCATTAAAAAAATAAGACCCCCTTGACCATGCAGAAGTACGCCACTGACCACAAATTTAAAGTTCGTAAATTGGCAGAAAATTGTATTGTGCATATCATAAAAAACTTTTCGGCAGAAATTGTAGTTTTGAAGATATATTTAGTGTACCAGACAAAATTTCCATCATTTTCGATAGCATAAAACGCTTCATTAAAAACATGTTGTTTTGAAGATATATTCCGTGTTCCAGACAAAATGTTCACTCTGTATACTAAAACATTGAATTTTTAATATTTTTCAGATTTATTGTTAATTAGCTGTAGATAGTTTCTTGAAGATTTTATATCCGATATTTCATTTTCTTTCAAAATATGTGAAAACTACAAGGTATTCTATGTCAAAATGTTATTTTATTAAATCTAGTTACTCGATAAGTTTTTTTTAGCATCAGCTTCTGCTATTTGCCACATACGTCTCATATATCAAACATCACATTTGTTATATCATATATTGAGGTTAATTGTTTTTATAAATTTAGTTATCGAATCGAAAACTGCTTTTTTACCTTGGGCCAGGACACATGTAATGTTTAAAGGACGTTGGACACTCGATAAGTTCGATAATTGAAATCCTGAGAAGGAATTATTGATATTTGTTAATTTAACAGAGATGTCCAATCAAACATATATGGACTTTAGTTTCAACACACTATACAGTGATATTCAAATGACAAAAATGCGATCCACATAAGACATCGTAAACAACTTTCAATTTTAACGGAGGATATGAAGCTGAGTGTTTTAATTTTTGTGCAAGAGAATCCCATAAGAAACTAATTGGAAATGACGACCGAATTTAATATCTCTTCATCATAAGCATAGCCTAAATGCATACTATTACTGTTGTTTTTATTAAAAAATCTAGATTGACAATACAAAATGCGTGCGTATGTTATTTCGGTTGTATAAAATTAGGTTTCAGAAGGATTTTTGTCATTTAAAAGTAGACATGAAATCCCTATGTCTAATTCTAAATGAATAGCACTGTATATTTACGTGTGCTTATTTCAATGTTTCACTGAAATGAACGTGCTACTGTCCTCTATCGCGGTATTTAGGAACTATAGATTTTTTGTGGTAAGTACACATTTTGTCTAATCAACCTGCGTACATCGGTTAGAAAACGTCAGAACTCATCTGTACTTTTGTAGTAAGTAATTTTTTAGCGTAACACAACGGATGCCCGTTACTCATCATTTACCCACGAGTGGGTTTTGAACGATGATTTTGCCTCCTACTCATCGTTTCATACAATCAATAGTTATGTATTTTTGTTTTTGTTGTTTCATAACTGTCTGTACGTATTTTTAAGTTTTCTACTATTATGAGTGTTTTCTTTTGTTTCTTTGTTTTCAGATTACCTTTCTCTGCTCTATCGCACGTACCGTTTTCTTTCGACTGATTTATTTACAATGTTTACAAGTGCATATACTACTATACGTCTTCAACAACCTAGTTCATTTATCATCAAGATTTACGTGTTAAAGAAACGTGAAGGTTTGAAGCTGTCAGTGTTTGTGTTAAGTGTGCAATATCCTAAACCATTCACGACCAGATTTTAGGAGGAAAAAAATGTAAGTAAGTAATTTTAATATTCTCTTATTTTTAATTGTCGCCGTCTGCGTACGGATCACAAGCTTTGTAAGCTTCTCTTTATTTCAGGAATGTTGTGTTAATTTTCAATTAATGTGTTTCGAAATAAATTTTTGTCTTTGTCAATCAATTAATTGTGTTTATTTACCCATTATGCGACCCGCATAGTCTTTATGTCACATTTTTCTATTCGTTAGAAGAAAATCACATTTTCTTCACCCTTTCAGAGAGGAAAATAGTTAATAATATAGAAAATAATATATTATTTCGAAAGGGTATGCAAGAGTTTAGATATTACGATTGAATTATCACTTTCTAAACGTAACAAAGCCAAAGCTTTGCTAAACATGTACCGAAAAATTGTGAAACGTAAATTACATTGCATTCTTTAAGAGATCGCTTGAAAGATTACTTCATTTATGCAGTCACAAATAAAACAAAATTAGCACCCATTTGTTTTCTGACAAGTAGCTCAGTTTCCCAACTGGTTAGGCCGCCATAAATTGATTCGTTAAAATTTTTAAACACAGCCGGAGGTGAGTACTTATCCAAACAAGCAGTAAAAAATTGGCGCGTTTATTGCAAATTTGCATCTTGGAGGACTATTAACAAAGGATGAAGATAATTATTAAGCTACGATGGTTTGGCCGTATTAATTACTTATGTTAATGTTTTAATTACAACATGTATTAACGGTCTTACTATTATAAAATAATTGTATAGTACAAATCGTTTAACACCATGCAAACTAATTGGGACTGATTAAAGTTTCGGAGCGAGTTTGTGGGCTTTTATAACGCCAGAACAAAACGTTACGTGTAAATTCATTACGTAGTGTGTACCTTATTCTCCAGATAAATCGTTTAGATATGCTTAATTCAACATAAACCCTTTGCTAAAAGCATACCCGTTATAAATAATCGTTTCCTCTTGAGTGTTAGTGTCTGTAACTTGCATGTGGGTTACTAACAGGCCATAAACAGCGGAGGAATTTTTATCCAAGAATATTTCCATTTGTAATGGGGTACCGGGGGAAACATTTAGCTCGCCGGTCACTAATTTACCGCCTTGGCGTACGCCAACCCCAAGTATCGGAACGGGAGCTTTTGTCGTAATGCTACTTGTTATTTTGAGATCTCTGAAAACGGCACGAATTTAGAACAAACTCGCCATAAACCACAATGGATATTTACTCGGGTTCCTGAAATCCGGCGGGCAGCACGTTACGTTTCACGACGGTATGATTGGTGATCGGAAAAATTGAACATTTAACGTGTATAAATTCCTCGATGTGCGGCTGTTGAATTCCTCCAACTTCGCTTGTGGATTCGATAATTATAGTTTTGTAGAAGACCTGCTTGCCCTACGGCAAACACAAAATGGACATTAGTGGGTTAATAGTAATTTGTTTTGCAACAAAAAAATTGCAATATACTTACAGTTATTTGATTTATGGCTCTTGTTATCCCGCACTGATAGAAATCGGTCAGATTGAGTTGAAAAACGGCGGTGGCCTCCACTGGATCGGTCTGAGGTAAGCAGGCGGGATTAGGGTAGCCTTTCAGCCCTTTTAAATAAATTGCTTTGGTGGACGATTTCATAGGCAGCTCTATTCGCATCAAATTGGGTGTACATTTGACCTTTGGCTCGACTGAAATAAAAAAGAAGAGGGAGATTAATTTATTTCCAATTGATTATAACAAACTATGCAAATTAGTGGTTTGCTAAATTGAATTGAAGATTTTATTCGAGCTATTAATTATCGTTTATAACTGACTGCCTTGCAATTACATAGTGTGCTCGGTTAATACATTCCATCCGGCTAGCTCTATGTCATTTTATTTGTCTACAGTTAGAAGCGAAAGTAGTAAATCTTTGATAAAACACTTCTACCACTTTTACAACTTCGACGGAAAGTTGAAATTGATTCCGAAATTAGGGAAGTACGCACACGCACAATCCATAAAACGATAAAATAATAACGTAATTACATTTTCGGTTGTTTGGATTTACTTTATTGCTTGTAATTTTATTATCCTTGATAATTTAATATCCCACTATTTATTTAAGGAGTTTTGACATGACCACAGATTATTTAGCCATTTTTACACCATTAGGATAACGTTCAAAGGCTGTATAATAGCAGAATAATAGGCATGAGAACTGAGGATGAAGTATTTAATTCTGTTAATTAACGCGTAGCTCCATCATTTCGCTAGTGTATATTTTACAATGTGATCTTATAACGCTACACAAATTGCAATCGATTTGATTTCATTTGCTTTAAAATTACTGTATAGTTCTTCTTGATTAGAATTCTTCTTTAGACTACAGCTTTAGAGCAACAGTTTGCTACAATTGAATCGTTAGCCATTTTCAGATTATTGTTTCTGTTTCCGAAATTACACCGTCAATATATTACGCGGAGCGTTGGATTCATAACAAGTACTGCTTAGCAAAATAATCGTGGCCCGAGTTACGTTTCGTCTTAAATTTGATGATGTAAGGCAATTGATAAACAAAGGATAATTGTACTTTTTCTCAAACAAGTTAATTAACAGAAGAGAAATGTTACACTTAGAGGGTACCTATGATTTCCTAAACGAAAAGTGATTAAGAGCGAGAAACTAATTGCTGGTGTAAGAAGACAGTGGTTTACACAAAATTATAATTTGAAACCATGATACATTAATTAATTGATGCAGTTTTGTGTTATAAGTACGAGGGTAGTTTGATAAGTCAGTGACTTTCTGAATTTATCGCACATAAACTTTAACTGCAACACTACTCCCGTCAACTGTATGAATATTTGGACATGAAAAAGCTTTTGGCGCGATTGGTGCGGTGGTGTTTAGCCGCAATCCGAACGAATTTTTGCATAGATCAAGAAGCGTTTAAAATTTGGTAATTCGTTACGAAGATTGTCGCCCTGAGAATATTTATTTCTGGGTAGGAGTTGGAAAAATAAGGTAGAAATTAAGTTTAGAGCCGCCCGTTAAGGAAAATAAGAGGCCGTATGTGGTGTGCCGTTTGCAACCATTCCCGTAGTAATACCTAAATTGTTTTTACAGCTGCCGAAACCTCTTTTACCAGGGAAAAAGAGAGAAAATCAATCTTATTCAGTTTTAGGCCCGTTAATTACTCATTAATAGTTTTAATTTTCTAATGGTGTACGAAAACCAGCACTAAAACCGGAAAGGTTGTGCAGTGTACGAATATTCAACGTGATAGGAGACCCCGCCGTTTGATCCAACATTCCAAGGTTAAAAGGGCCATTACTGGATTGCCTAATTTGGAGAATTCATTCCGACTATTTGGATAAGTATAATTAACCGTAATTAGTTTGCCTGGGTTATAGATAAAAGCGTATGATTAAGTCGAGATTACATCTGTTAGGCGCACCCTTAAAAAACTTGAATTGTGATACCGATCCCGTATTTTTAAGACGTCTGGTTTACCGAAATGTAAGTAAGGCAAAAAATTTGCGTTTCGGATATTTTCCGTTTCTAACCGAAACGTAAAATCTTTTACCTTTGGGTGTTTTATCGAAACGTAAGAGATCTTTTGCATTTGGTGCTTTATTGAAACTAATTGCTACTGCTCCGTTAATTGCAAGGTAAGTTTTTTGCCACTTTCCGTTTCATTAATTATAGGAGGAGAGGTATTGTCTAGCTTCCTGCATTTGCTTTCCCGTAGAAACCGCTACCGCATTCGATTACTTACTGTTCCCGCTTAGGGAAATTGCTGTGCGCTTTAAGTTTGTAGCCTACTACTGCCGCCTTCACCCCTACGGATTTTCACTTATAAACTGTCGCTATATGTCGCATTTCCTTAAATATCATTTTTGCAATTATACCGATTAATTTTTTTGTGTAAAGGAGAACCGTTGGTGCGCGAACTTCCGGCGGAAAAGTTCGTCGTTCCACACCAGAGATCAAGGAACAATCAAGACAATGTGTTTCTTCAGGTGAACATATACTAACAAAAGCCAAGGTGGGCCTGTCGGCCAACAATGTCATGGCCACAGTGTTTTGGGATGCACGCGGTAAAAGGGTAAAACCATCACCGGCTTTTGGATAGATTAAATATTGATTTGAAGCAGAAACGACCTCATCTGGCAAAGAAACAAGTGCTGTTCCATCATGATAATCACCACGGCAAAATTCGAAATTGGGCTACAAGCAGCCGATTTGTACGTATCAATCAACATTTTACTTCTGCTAGTGTAAAGTCATTTTGAGTATTAATTACGGTTTTAGTATACTATTTACCCTTGTTTCAGACGTTAGACATCGCTACCGCAATATTTATGTGCCGCACTATTCACTATCCCTCTCAATTGTTTGTTGTGTTGTTATCTGTTACAGATAAGTTAGAAAAGCGTGCTTTTGACCTCAAAAGACGGTTACAACCAGAGTTCAAAGCTAATTTCTATTTGTGATGACTCCGTTATATACCGTTTAATTATTATATACCATTAACCATTGTTGTTTTATGCGGAAGCCCGTTTTGATTTGGATATTTTCCTGACTACGAGTTGATCTCCTTTCTGCTAAAAATTGAGTTAAATTTAAACATTGACATTTCAGATCTAGATCGTTTATTAAATTAGCATGGTTATCACGGCTAAAATTTACATCAATTCCTTTTGTTTTATACTCTGAATTAATTTTTGTTTTTGTTTCTTTTAAATCCATATAACTAAAATTCACTTTGTATTTGCGATCAATCACTAATTAATCGATGTCAATTTTCTATTCCTACTTGCTATCTTCTTTTCAGAGATTTATTTTAACGTAATTTCTTTTGTGTGAATTCTAATTCACTACTACACATAGTCTATTTCCAAGTTTAACGTGCATTTACAGAAATATAGAATGAACAGACCGCGATTTCATAGAGCTCTAACAAAGTTGCTTGAAGGTTTGGGTAAGTTAATATTACTCCTCATAAAGATGCTTGTTTCATGCCGGTGTCCAAATAGCCTTTCGGGAAGTACTGATCTGTACATGGAAAATGCGCTAGTTACTCGCCGTAGGGCTAAATCTTTTTGCTTGTTTTCTCATTTAACAGATATTTTAACTCTAACGGATTCTGAGATCTCAATTCTGTACACGGTAAATATGCCACCAATCGGTTTCAGAACCTGCAGAAGAGTTTTTTTTGTTACAACATCACTTGTAAGAAACCCTTACAAAGTAGGTAGGTAACGAATGAACATTATAACCTTCTTCCTAAATTAAAATCACTAACGGTGAGTATGCATAATTGATAACTACGTGAAAAAGCGTTCCTGTCATATAATTGACTATGATTATAACTGATTAGCATAATTAAGGTGGTAAGTTTATTGAGGTCAATAATACTACCAACCATAGACACGCATACTATGTTTTCTTCGATTAATATAATAAATAGTTACTTATTGGCTTGACATTCATAAATGCCGCACCATAGTATATGTTAAACGATATTATTGCTTTATTTACGATTATAGTATCGTTTAAAACTGTACATAGAAGTGTTTTCTCACGATGCCCTCATAAGCCTCGCTATAATCATTTTTACACTTTATTTCTGTTAGGAAGTTGTACGGCTATTATGGGACAAAAATGGTGCCGCGTGCCGTTAAAAAAACCTGTACACAGATAGTTGATTCATTATGAGAAAAAAATATATATGTCAATCGTACCTAATAAATATTTTAAACATTACCTACTAGATTCCGCTTTAATTTGCAATTATGTCTCGTTTTCGATTTCCGCAATAATGCAAGCAATAAAAATGGAATTTGCGGCTATTGCATTTAAATGGGAAAAGTTCAGTAGTAAATCTGGATTTTTGGTGACAATTAGCGAAACGTTAATTACGTCTACTACTGCACATTGCATCTAATTACTCACTAACTTGAATGCAACTTTGTTAATTACAACTTATTACTAGACCATTAATACAATCGGTTTCTACGAAAGGTAGAACCGACGGCGACGGCGTCCGTACCGAGGTACTACTTTTACTGCATAAACTCAGGATTGCACGCGGATACTTGCGATACTACAAAATTCTACGCTTAATAATTCAATGAGCTTTCTCGCCATAATCATAAATTTTGCACGAAAGGTTACTTAGAGAGTAGCTTTAGTTGCTGGAGAACTATATGGTCAAAGGGTGTTTCTACTAGTGCTGTAGCATGCCAAACGGTGCTAGCACAAATGTAAGATGCCAAGGTTCGGTTGCTGATCTAAGGTAGGCTTGTTGGGCGTAGGTCACAAAACCTAATTGAGCAGCAAAGAAGATTGACCGGTAGGCGCCACTATATTTAACCTTAGACAATAAAGGAAATAAACTTTAATTGGCTGAACCATTGCACCAATACACATTGTTAAAATCAATTTGAATTATTAAAATTATTCGGAGCCGAACAGAATTGCCGCCGTGAACCCGAAGTTATGACCACACGGTATATGTGGGGACCACCTCTGGTGAACACCCAATATCTAGAAGCGTTTTAAGTTGGGCGCTTCGTTACGAAAAGTGTCGTGCCGTAAGCATTTGTCTTAGTTCTGAGGAGTTGAAAACAGAAGCTAAAGGTAATTGATTTAATTTCTGGAATTCGCCGTTTGTGACCGTTCCCGTAAAGATATTTCAATT